GAATACTTTTAGAACAGACGTAACCCTTATTTGTAATGTCGATGTCGTCGGCATACGCCAGCAATTGTACGCTCTTGTAAAGTTTTGTGACTGAGCGGTTCAGTTCTGCGACTCTTATTATATTCTCCAACGTCAGATTAAAGAAATCACACGAAAGGGAGTCACCTTATCTGAAACTTCGACTGGTATCAAACGGCTGGGAGAAGTTCTCCTCTATTCTAATCTGAAACCACATTGGTAAGGCGCAATCAGTTCGTTGACCGAGGGCTTCAGTCTTTCACATAACACGCTCGATAAAATAGTTGGCACGCATGGCGGGGTCGCCTTTCTTGTAGATTGGGCAGGGTACACTTCAATTCCAGTAATCAAGCATTCACCTTATTAGCTCCTTGCCATCGTACTTGAATAGCTCGGCTGACAGGCCGTCAGCTCCAGCAGCTTTGTTACTTTTTATCAGCATAATCGTTATTCGTAACTCCTCATATTCAGGCGCTGGGACATCGACTCCATTGTCATCGACTGGGGGCTCAGGTTCGTCTTCTCCACTTCTTTCAGTGCTGCTGCCATTGGTCGAAAAGTGTTCCCTCTATAACTTAAGTACGTTTTGGACACCGGTCGCCATGGTTCGTACAGGAGTCTTGAAACCTTCCGTAAATCGCTCAACTCTCTGCTACAAATTTGGGGTGTTTTTTCTATCGGCCAGCATTTCAAGCTTTTCGCACTCACGTATTTCGACCTCTCTCTTCATATTGCGGCAAATACGTTAGCTTCCCGCTTCAGTCCCTATAACGGTTCCACGTGACTCGCGTTGCGCCCGATCGCAGCGTGGTCCTGTAGGCGGCACCTTTTTTATCTGCAGCTTATTGACACTCCTTATCGTACCAGTAATGAGCGGGAAATGTGGTTCCACTGCTCGCGTATGTCGCTTTGTTGAAGAGTGCTCTCTCACAGCGGGTGTGAGTGTCGAGTGGCGAATCAATTGGTCGTCTGTTTTGATTGCAGCTTTTCGACGTTGAGCTTTCCTTGAATTGTTGGGCGCACATTTTTTGCTGCACCGAGGCGTGTGTGGCTGCATAAATATAATGGTGCGAGTCGATGCTTGGCCTTCGGAGTGTACGTATGTACATCTAAAACACTGGAAGTGTGCCTTCCGTCTACCACAACATGCTCGATTTGCTGTAATTACTCAAGACGTAAACGTCTTGGCTGTTCACCAAACTAGTCTATGGTTTTATCAATAATCTCAGATTGGTTTTCTGATACAAAACTTTCGATGTACGCTTAGAAGACACAAGCTATAACTATATACTATAAATTTATGAACTATGAACTATAAATTTATTTGTTAGTTTACCGTTCCATCCATTGCCCCTACCTGGCTATGCCCATGGTATAGATCTTCAGGCCCAATGTTAGATGGCCTATTTGAGTAGAGATTGTTGATTAACTTCCACTATTCATTTTTAGATCATACATATAATCTGCATATAATGGCCAATATTGGCTATTTAAATACGAGATATGCAACTCTGTGTTTGTACTAAACAACCAAGATTGAATGGTAGGTTGTTTAATCAATCCCACCAAAAAACCATCAGCTGTTCAGCACAAAATGTAAACAAACAAGCAAATGCTACAACAATTTCAAGGAACATGCAGCAGTGTTACCAATTGTTTGGCGTATTTAAACAAAGTTGATCTGAAACCGAACGAAAGTTAAATGGAATTTAAACAACAATCCACAATTAAACTTAACTGCCATTTAAATATTCATTTGAAATTAGCCCTTATTTAGTTTGGGCTGAAATTGATATATTTTTACGACTATTCAAAAGAGCAGCCTCTCCTGACAGTAAATTAATATCTAACGAACCTTTTGAAAAAAGAGAATAATCAAAATCGGGTGGGATTTGATGAGTACTTAGTCTTTTGACACAAAACTATTTTTTCTACTGTGCGCCAGTGGATGTTACTTTCAAATAAGACACATTAAATACGAAAATCAAGCGTTCGGAAAGAAAAGTTTTTTTATGGTCCTTTAGTTCACAAGATCGTAAGAGTCTGCAGTGTAGATTAGATTTAAACTCCCACATAGTTCATGAAACTTCATTTCTGGTTTTTTCTTTCGTTTGATAAGAATTGTAGAAAAAATTAAGCAAACCGAAGAAAATTTTAACATTTAAACCGTTAGAAAAAATTAATAAATTTTGATTTATCTAAGGGAGACGGCAACGCTGGACACACTGCAAATTAGATAATGAGAGCAAGAATCTTAACGTCGCTTGAACGAGGATATTGGAATTTATAAAAAACAGAATAAATTGATTTTTATTAATTCGAATCGGCATCCTTACAATAAAAATTTTCGTGCATACAAAGTCCATTAAATACTCCAATAAAAATATGGTGCTTTTTCGAGAAAAAACGCGATTTTCAAATTCAAGACAAAGTCATGCAGGTGCCATCAACGACTAAATTACCATTTGTATGAAAAAGTCATGAACGACTTCCATATAAACGGAGCCCAAAGTCATTGAAGACTTGATATGGCCGTACAAGACACTGAGGCACGGTGCACATTAGTGCGATACGATATGCGATGCGATATGCTATACGATATGGATGCGACATCGACATGCGGAGTACGTGGTAATTGGTAGGAAGCGATGAAAACTGTGCACACTTTNATACGCCAGCAATTGTACGCTCTTGTAAAGTTTTGTGACTGAGCGGTTCAGTTCTGCGACTCTTATTATATTCTCCAACGTCAGATTAAAGAAATCACACGAAAGGGAGTCACCTTATCTGAAACTTCGACTGGTATCAAACGGCTGGGAGAAGTTCTCCTCTATTCTAATCTGAAACCACATTGGTAAGGCGCAATCAGTTCGTTGACCGAGGGCTTCAGTCTTTCACATAACACGCTCGATAAAATAGTTGGCACGCATGGCGGGGTCGCCTTTCTTGTAGATTGGGCAGGGTACACTTCAATTCCAGTAATCAAGCATTCACCTTATTAGCTCCTTGCCATCGTACTTGAATAGCTCGGCTGACAGGCCGTCAGCTCCAGCAGCTTTGTTACTTTTTATCAGCATAATCGCTATTCGTAACTCCTCATATTCAGGCGCTGGGACATCGACTCCATTGTCATCGACTGGGGGCTCAGGTTCGTCTTCTCCACTTCTTTCAGTGCTGCTGCCATTGGTCGAAAAGTGTTCCCTCTATAACTTAAGTACGTTTTGGACACCGGTCGCCATGGTTCGTACAGGAGTCTTGAAACCTTCCGTAAATCGCTCAACTCTCTGCTACAAATTTGGGGTGTTTTTTCTATCGGCCAGAATTTCAAGCTTTTCGCACTCACGTATTTCGACCTCTCTCTTCATATTGCGGCAAATACGTTAGCTTCCCGCTTCAGTCCCTATAACGGTTCCACGTGACTCGCGTTGCGCCCGATCGCAGCGTGGTCCTGTAGGCGGCACCTTTTTTATCTGCAGCTTATTGACACTCCTTATCGTACCAGTAATGAGCGGGAAATGTGGTTCCACTGCTCGCGTATGTCGCTTTGTTGAAGAGTGCTCTCTCACAGCGGGTGTGAGTGTCGAGTGGCGAATCAATTGGTCGTCTGTTTTGATTGCAGCTTTTCGACGTTGAGCTTTCCTTGAATTGTTGGGCGCACATTTTTTGCTGCACCGAGGCGTGTGTGGCTGCATAAATATAATGGTGCGAGTCGATGCTTGGCCTTCGGAGTGTACGTATGTACATCTAAAACACTGGAAGTGTGCCTTCCGTCTACCACAACATGCTCGATTTGCTGTAATTACTCAAGACGTAAACGTCTTGGCTGTTCACCAAACTAGTCTATGGTTTTATCAATAATCTCAGATTGGTTTTCTGATACAAAACTTTCGATGTACGCTTAGAAGACACAAGCTATAACTATATACTATAAATTTATGAACTATGAACTATAAATTTATTTGTTAGTTTACCGTTCCATCCATTGCCCCTACCTGGCTATGCCCATGGTATAGATCTTCAGGCCCAATGTCAGATGGCCTATTTGAGTAGAGATTGTTGATTAACTTCCACTATTCATTTTTAGATCATACATATAATCTGCATATAATGGCCAATATTGGCTATTTAAATACGAGATATGCAACTCTGTGTTTGTACTAAACAACCAAGATTGAATGGTAGGTTGTTTAATCAATCCCACCAAAAAACCATCAGCTGTTCAGCACAAAATGTAAACAAACAAGCAAATGCTACAACAATTTCAAGGAACATGCAGCAGTGTTACCAATTGTTTGGCGTATTTAAACAAAGTTGATCTGAAACCGAACGAAAGTTAAATGGAATTTAAACAACAATCCACAATTAAACTTAACTGCCATTTAAATATTCATTTGAAATTAGCCCTTATTTAGTTTGGGCTGAAATTGATATATTTTTACGACTATTCAAAAGAGCAGCCTCTCCTGACAGTAAATTAATATCTAACGAACCTTTTGAAAAAAGAGAATAATCAAAATCGGGTGGGATTTGATGAGTACTTAGTCTTTTGACACAAAACTATTTTTTCTACTGTGCGCCAGTGGATGTTACTTTCAAATAAGACACATTAAATACGAAAATCAAGCGTTCGGAAAGAAAAGTTTTTTTATGGTCCTTTAGTTCACAAGATCGTAAGAGTCTGCAGTGTAGATTAGATTTAAACTCCCACATAGTTCATGAAACTTCATTTCTGGTTTTTTCTTTCGTTTGATAAGAATTGTAGAAAAAATTAAGCAAACCGAAGAAAATTTTAACATTTAAACCGTTAGAAAAAATTAATAAATTTTGATTTATCTAAGGGAGACGGCAACGCTGGACACACTGCAAATTAGATAATGAGAGCAAGAATCTTAACGTCGCTTGAACGAGGATATTGGAATTTATAAAAAACAGAATAAATTGATTTTTATTAATTCGAATCGGCATCCTTACAATAAAAATTTTCGTGCATACAAAGTCCATTAAATACTCCAATAAAAATATGGTGCTTTTTCGAGAAAAAACGCGATTTTCAAATTCAAGACAAAGTCATGCAGGTGCCATCAACGACTAAATTACCATTTGTATGAAAAAGTCATTAACGACTTCCATATAAACGGAGCCCAAAGTCATTGAAGACTTGATATGGCCGTACAAGACACTGAGGCACGGTGCACATTAGTGCGATACGATATGCGATGCGATATGCTATACGATATGGATGCGACATCGACATGCGGAGTACGTGGTAATTGGTAGGAAGCGATGAAAACTGTGCACACTTTCACGACAGCGACACCGATGCGATATAATATCGCATGCGTATCGCACGTGCGACACCGCTGCGATATACACGGTTTGTTGAACGAGGTGAAATAAGTATTGCGCGGTATTTTTTGCAATAAGCATGGCCTTTTCACAGGAGGAAGCATCTTCCTCAATTTTTTTAGTCGAATTAATAAAAAAAAACCCTATGCTTATGGAGCTATACAGAAAAAACTACTGTAGAACAGACATGACTAGTTTGGCATGGAGAAATATAGCGTCTGATGTCAAGGACACAGGTAAGTACACAATAGAATATTTTTGTCATGGTTTATTTGCTTTTGTTTTCACATCTTTAAAAAGAAATTTAAAGAAGCCAATAATTTTAAACCTATTTTTTTTTATTTTAAATAGCAAAAAAGATTTGGTGTTTGTTTTAATGTTTTAAACATTCAAATAATTACACTTTACGGCAAAATCAACTTTTTTTCTGGGTATTGGACCAAACCAATTTTTTTAAGAGATTGAGTCATAGGTAAAAAAGTGATTTCTCCGTTTTTCGAAGTTAGCCTCCGAAATCGAGATATGGGCCTTCGAAGTTCGAAATAGGACCTTTGGTAAAAAATTATATTTAATTATTGCATATAAATAACTAAAAACCTAAAAATAATGGCTTAGTCCTCCTTTTGCTCTTATTTAAATGGTGTATAACTTTAACTTGTGCAAACTTATATTACAGGTCCTATAAGGGGTAAAAGTTCTGGTCTTCGAAAAATTTAATTCCTTATATTTCAAACAATTTTGAACTGATTAATTTATATCGTTATAAAGGTGATTAAACCCCCTTTCTTCTGATATGCACCTTTGTATACATNTTTGCTTAACCTTTTTTTTAATTCAGCTTTCACCGATTTCTCCTTGTAGTGAACGCAATATTCTGAAATAATTTGTCATGGAAATTTGAATATCTCATTTAATTTTCAGCCGACTTTGTAAACATCTCGATACTCGATATTAAACATACTTTTCTCTTAAACTTTTTAAAAGTTTATAGATATAAACATAGACCCCTCATTCGAAAGGTCTAAACTCTGTTGAGAGGCAACTCATTTACAAGCTTATAAGGGCACAAAAGTGCAGAAATCAGTTTTTGACAAAAATTTCGCATTTCGATTCTTACTTCACGCGACAAAACCTACCGCAAAAGGGACATAACAACCCAGGTATTTTGTAACTTCTTTATGCGAATTCATTATACAAAACCCTTAAATTAAAAAAGAATCTTAAATATTAAAATATCAAACATAATTAAATAATTGGAATTAATGGTATAACAGTTCTCTTATAAACCTACATATTTCCACTGTATAGGAATTACTCCTTCCGTTTGAAGAAAGTATTTACCTAACCTATTTTGTAAACGTACGGCTTCGGTTTGGGCAGAGGTTTCCTCCAACGTACTACCATCTGGCATTAGCGGAATACCTTGTACGTTGGCAAAATTTCAAATGCCTTGAAGCTTCCCCTCACGGAGGCGGATAAAATTATGCAACACACATGAGGCCTTTACTATTGCAATTGCACACTCTTCATTACATGCAATTGGCCTCTCAAAAACACGAAATTTGGATGTTAACATACCAAAAGCGCATTCAACACTTTTATGACCTCTAAAAAGACGAAAATTAAAGATTCTTTTTGCATCAGTTAACGTTCTTTTTGGGAAAGGCCTCATAAGGTATGGTAATAAAGGAAAAGCCTCGTCACCAACCAAGTAGTATGGGAAAATCTCTTGATTAACTATCACCACCTGGAAAACAAGTAGGTTTCGGAACATTAAGCTTTCGTTGTTGTAGCAGCTGGCCAATTGGGCTATGACGAAATACAGCTCCATCACTGTTCCTTCCAAGGTCCCCAACATAAATAAGAATAAACATGCCGTTCGCATCGGCCACAGCCATGAGGGCGATTGAAAAAAAAACCTTTATAATTTATGTTACGGGATCCGGTATTGTTGAAGCACTTTACGCGAATATGTTTACCGTCAATCGCCCCGATACAATTAGGTAGATTCCATAAATCAAAATAACGTCCTGATGTTTCCTTCCATGTACCTTTATCGGGCAAAGGCATATACAATGGCTGCAATTTAGTCCAAATAGTTTCGCAAGTAGATCGCACGCTTTCACCACTAGTCGATTTTCCTCTGTAGAATTGAAGCGCTAGATCTTGAAAAGAGCTCCCAGTAGCCAAATACCTGTAAATAATAGTTATTTTTGGTTATTTTTGTCACTTATTTCCTATAGATATATTGCATTTAATTCTGTTATATATAAAAGTGCGCATTCATTATTTCTTTATTTCCAGAAGAGAACGTTAAGTGGAGAAATATCCGTACAGCGTTCATAAGGCCAAAAAACAACCCAAATCAGGATCAGGATCAGGTAGAGCAAAGAAGCCATATTATCTGGCACCCCACCTCTATTTTCTCCGTCCGTTCATGAAATCAGCCACAACTTCTGGAAATATAACGCAAGACACGGAAACTGATGATGACAGAGAAGAAGAATATGACTTCAGAAACACCAAATATTCGACCACTAAGTGGATCAAGCGAAACTCCAAACATTCAACCATTCAGTGAATCAAGTGAAACACCAAATGTTCAACCGCCCAGTGGAATCTCTCCTGAAGTTGAATCTGAATCGGAAATCGTTATTCCACCCCAGCCGAAAAGGCAAAGGAAAACTCGTCAACAGCCGCGACAGGAACAATTGACAAATGACGCGAACAATGCGTTTGTAGAATGGGTGGAATTAAAAAACAGAGCGTCAAAAGAGGCGAGAAAAGTGAACAGCGAGACTCAGACTGGTTGTTTCTTAAGTCTCTCCTACCTGATTTAAGAAAACTAGATGACAGGCGTAAAAGAGCTGTGAAAGTGAAGCTTATACAGGTCATCAACGAGCAGCTAGACGAAGCCGAGAGAGAGAACAGCATAGAACTTTCACCATGGGATTCTTCCACAACTTCAACACCACAGTATCCTATTTCTATCCCAATACCAACGACTTTTAACACAGAACAACTCACAGAATGCCAATTTAACTCAAGTACCGTTTCAGAAGTATAGATTTTTATTTTTTTTCAAAGTATGTATGTTCATATGTATGAGTTACTAAGGGTACTCAGATGTTTATATTTTCAAGTTGATCCGATTTTTTAATTTTAATAATTAAAATAATTATAGATAATTCAATAATATAAACCATATTAATCAAAGCTTCAAACTTTGTGCAAATATCCCAAAAATGCAACAAATTTCTCAAAAATTTCATCAAAATTTCACAGTCTAACCCGAATTTTCAGGAAATTTTTGGATATTCAGTTTATAATCTCAAAATTTGCATAAATTTTTTAGAATGTTTTTTGTTAAAGATGCTCTGCATTTCCTTTCATACAAAGTATGTTCGTTTTTTTTTTTTTATATATTTGACGCAAATCTAACGTGCACTTTATACCCTGAAATTTAATGGGCCATAAACTGCATATCCAAAAATTTCCTGAAAATTCGAATTAAACTGTTTGAAATTTTGATGAAATTTTTGGAAAATTTGTAGTTTTCGGGAATTTCGCACAAAGTTTGAACCTTTGTTTTGTATGGTTAATATTATTGAATTATCTCTATTTTTTTAATTATTGAAATTAAAAAAAGATAAACTTGAAAATATAAACATCTGAATAGAGTTCGTAATTTATTGGCCACATATTGTATATATGTAGATATATACATGTATATATATACATATGTATGTACATACATGAAAATCCCTGAATTTTTGGCTCAATGCCAGTCAATGAATTTCTTTGGTTTATAATAAAATAGCTTTTTTTGCGTATTTCTAGATTTTTCTTAATTTTTGCTAGAAGCGTAGCAATATTTTTGCTACGTTGTTGTCAAAAGAATGTAGCACTTACCTTAATGTGATCAGTAACTTCTCGGATGATAAAATTGCGAGTCGAAATTTCGTGTCCTGCTTCGTTAAAGTAGCTGATACAAATTGTTCTAGCAACCGAAAACTATCTGGACTCATTCGATACATTTCTTTAAATTTTGCCGGGTGTTGAGAGAGCTCATGGGAAACTACCGCCGACCTGTGCTTTATGTTCCTCACATTAAATGGGTGCACCCAGTACTTTCTCCTATTATAAGCTCTTTTTT